AAAAAACTGCTTCCCGGTTTGACTTGCAAAAGTTTAAGGTAATCAGACCAAAATGTCATTATCCCATATTAAAAAAAATTGGCCCAAAATGCTGCTACTGGTGCTGCTTTCAGTGCTGACAGTGATAAAGCTATTAAATTTGATGCACGACGTAGTTGAAGTGATTCTGTTGCGGATGAAGTGTTCGTTCTCAAGCGTAAATTAGTAGCAACAGATTTTCTGATCACATTCAGTTTGCAAAATCAACGACCAATTTCCTTCGGCATCCCATTCATTCATCTATCTGCCCGTCCGCTTGACATCACTTTTGCTAAACGTTCTTCGTGTCCTTATCAAAATGCTGTCGCTGTTTCTGTGTACGAAAATTAAATGCGATCAATTAGAATGTAAAAAAAAAAAAAAAAAGTTACCTACCGCAAGTTTCCAGTTGTATTGCATACTTAAACTTTCTGCTATTACTTTGTTTCGTCTTATTTCCTTTTCAAAAACTTTTTGTTGATTTCAAACCTTTTAAGCTGTTTTTCAACACTTTTTTATTCTTTTCAGACTTTCAGAAATACCTCCACATTTTAGTCTTAAAGTCTCTATTTCTGTATTGGTGGATTTGGCTGCAGTTTGCGTTCGATAGCTAACACAATTTTCAAAAATACTTTAGCAGTTTTTCTACACTAAGAATGAGATTTTTTGTAAAAAGAAAAAAGTGTTTGTTTAAAAAAAAAACAGAAAGCAAAGATGATTCGTGAAAAAAAAAATAAAGGTGAAATTATATACTTCTTTTTTTTCAAAGCTTACAGCTGTTCGTCAAAAGACGATGGTTTGCGAGGAAAAACTAATAGGTAACATATTATTAGCAAAAATAATGTGTTGAATTAAAAATAAGGTAAAAAATGAGCATTTTATTTAGTTAAATTTTTATGTGCTTTTTATTAGTAATTTTAAAAAAATTTGTGGTAGTAAAGTAAAGATGACAATCTTTGAAGTGATTAAACAGATGTTTCCAAACAGCACATATTCTCGTAAAAGTGGGATCTTTTGTAACAACTTCTGCGCTTAAACTGAACTGAATTTAGCGTTTTTTATTTCCTTAAACATCTTTCCGATTTCAACAATTGTCGTAATAGCAAATTTGAAATTAAAATGAATATATGTGCAATTAATGATCTATCAAAAAAAAAAAAGAAAGAAAAAAAAGGAACTACAACGTTTATAGTGGTCTTTAACAGGTGCAACATTCTGTTCCTTCTTCTCACTCTTTTTTTTAAAGCTAAACATAGACTTTATCAGTTTTTTATGGTAAAATAGCAATTTTTTTACACATTTTACTGCTATTATCAGTGTTTTTTTATCTTTTTTTAATCTTTTTTTTTCGTTGAATATAGTAATGGAATGGCGAAGAATAGGGCGTGAATAAGGCGAGTACGATATATGTTGCATAATGACTGCATTGTTTTATTTGCTGAGAAAGTTTGAGTGAAATTCTCACAAAAAATAAACTTAAGGACAAACTGGGTGACTAAGATGTGTAATTTAAATGATATCTTGTGCTTTTTATTAGCCTTATTTATTGCAGCTTATAACTGTGATTGGTTGAAGACCGGAAAGACTTATAACGTTTTCTTGTTTTTCAACTTTTTCTTTTCACCTGGTTATCGGGTATACATTTTATCTGAAAAACTGTTATTTCCAACACTGGCACCACCACCACCGCTACCGGCGGAAATATATTAAGCAATATCTGAATTAGCCAACGAGACAGATTTGTGTTTCGTAGAACTGTAAAATAAACTTGGCGATGTTTATCATAACAAAATTAAATTTTTTTTTCTTCTACTAAAGCTGTAAACATTCGAATATTATGCGTCGGCAAATAAAAAAAAAAAAGCTTATTCATTCTGACAACGAAAAAATTTTTTAATCTTTATAACACTTAGCCAATTTAATGATCCTAAATTAATAAATATGGTTGCACGGTAGTTGGTTCTTCATTTTTTTCATTGTCTACGTTTTATTCTATTTTATGGCGTCGACTTCCGGTCGAACAGATGAAAAACTTCTTGTGCGGTGATAATACAGTACTAATCCTGTGTTTTTTTTTTCAGCATTAAGATGCTTACAAAACTAATATAAATATAAATATTTACTATTATTATTATTTCTGGTTATTATTCAGTACAAAAAAAAAAAATTAGAAAAGAAGAGGAGAAAAAGTAGAAATAAAAATGAAGTTAGCAAATTTGACCAACGAAAGTTTCTACAAGGAAGTGGAAAACGAAATGATTACATATGAATATTTGCAAATGATTCGAGATTTTGCACGACACTTTATTCCGGGTTTCTGTGTTTGCGGTATATTTTCCAATTCGATGGCACTCGTACTTTTACGGTAAGTGATTTTTTTTTTTTTGATAGTTTGTCGACTATTAGACTAATGCTAGACTCTTTTAAGTTAGAGCATATTCTGTTTGTCGCTTAAACTAATCACTAAACTTTTTTAGGACAGATTATTTGTTGAAACGGTTAGCATCAAATTTGTATCTGCTTATGCTGTCGCTTAGCGGCTGTTTATTTTTGTCAACGGTGTTTATCTGTTGGGTGGATTCGGTGTTAATCGAGTTACCGTTGTATCGAAATTCAGAATTTGGTTGTCGTTTCTTGACCTTTGTTGCACATATGAGTGATTTTAATTGTGTTTACATGATCTCATGGGTATCATGTGACAGAGCTGCGGTGCTGTTTCGTCCACGTTGGTTTCTTTTGCACTTTCACTTAACATTTGCTTTAATATAGATGTATTTTAAATTTCACCTATTTTGACAAAGAATTCTACTCTTTCCGAATCATATTAGTGTATTTAAAAAAAAACTGTAATTTTAAGTGGATGAAAAACGTGCGAGGAAAGAAGCGGAGAACAGTCTTAAAATTTTTATTAACATAAATTATTTAACAGGATACAGATAAAGACACTTTTTTTGTTTTGCTTATATTAATCTTTGGATGTTGAACAATTTAAGATTCTGTATCGAGAGTATGTACACGTAATTTTATACGATTTATTGTCTATGGGACAATTCTGTTTAGCTGTTTGTTCTATTCACTTTGTTTTGTATTAGCTGGTTTGGAGACAGAAAATGGCAAAATATTTTGTGGTTTAACAAAAAACATTACTTTTATCGGGTAAGTTCATTATTTTTTTAGCACTAAGCTAAAGATTCTGATGTGTCAAATTTTACAACTTTCTTATTGCTGTTGTTGTTGTTGTTTAGTTCAATTTTTCTGCTCAAAAAAAAAAGAAAAAAAAAAAAGCAAAAGATGTTTTTTAAGCTATTGTTTATTGAAGGATAAACAGATACACCGACAAATTCTCTTTGGATTAGTATCTGAATTAAAATGCATTTTTTTCCCACTTTTGCTGCAACAGCATATTACTGCAAAGTTTATTGAACTTACCGTTAAGAGGGAAGAAAGCATTTACAAATCACTTATTTTGTTGCTCAAAGATATTTTTTGAAGGGACGATAATTACCCTTGAGATTAGTGCTAACTGGCCAAAAAATAGCCGCAGCAGTACTTAATTTACAGAAAAAAAAGATTAAAAAAGTGTTTATTTCGGCTTTTATTCTCTTCATTTTTTGGTCAACACGTAGCTTCAGCTTAGTAGGCGGAATAATTTTCAGGAGGAACAGATACTGTTTTGTCAATTTTAAAATTTTCTTTTATTTCAAGAATAATGACGCAAAGATTGTTTTAATACTTAAGCTGTTTGCTTCAGTTTTACCCATTTTTTTTATCCATAATCGTTTGACGATTATGGGAAACATTAAAAATATTTTTTTTGCTTTTAAACTGCTCGATAACCTCAATGATCTGATGATACTTCTGCATTTAGTGACTCATAAATATTTATATTTATGAGCAGAAAAAAAGCTAATCTTTTAGGCTGCTTTTTCATATTATTTTTAACAATGCTCTTTTATAGCCAAATTTTTTCCAACTTATTTGTACACTGCTTTATACACTCAGAATAAGGGCAGTGATCCAACAGTGATACTGTGTCAATGTTTGATTTAGTAAACTGTTCATGTAATCAACTGGCAGCTCCAGAAGAAGAGATGGTTAAGAAACTGTCTAAAAACTAAAGCTTAAATCAGTGATTAATGCGCGGTGTTAGGAAAAGCTTTTTTTGGTTCTATTTTTTTTCATGCTAAATGAACTGAACAACGAAAATATCCGACATTTCTAAGATCCAGAATGGCAAAAAAAAAATGGAATGGGAAAAAGCTCCTAGACAAGCAACAGATGTAAATGTTGTCATATAATTTGAAATTTAAGTCGTCACATCTGCGTCAGAACAATTGATAGCTATCAAGAATTTATTTTAGTCATAATTTCTGTGAACATCTCAACAGATGACATTGATCTTAGCTGCCAACAGCATAGTCTTCACATCAACCTCTATTAGACAGCTAATACTAGACTATTTACTAGATAAGTTTAGTGTTCATAAAAAGTATAAAAAATTTTTGAATTGTTTTTATTTTCTTATTATACCTTTTAAATACTAAATTTGTTTCTTCTTCAATTACAGTGGTATTTTGGCGATTTAGCTGAAACTGCTGTCGCAAAAATTCGCCTAATATTTGTACTTCAACAAATACTATCGTTTTTTTTATTCTTTTTTTTCTTTTTTGAAGAGGTGGAGCGGAGGAGGAGAAAGATAAGCAGTGGAAAAAACAAATCAAGCATTAATCAGAAAGCGTTGAATTTTGTGCAAAAAATTGGATAGAAAATAACAGTGTATTCAAAGATGTACTCAAAAAAGAATTGAAAGATCAGTTATTTTGGCAAAAAAATTTAAAAAAGAAAAGCTAAAAATTAAATTGAAATATTCGACAACATTACTGTTATGCACAAAAAATGAGTAAAAATTGTCAACAGTAATAAGTGGTATTTAGTAAACAGGTTCACATTTAAATAATCTGTTTTTGACATTTTTAAATATCAACCATTGCTGTAAGTTATAAATTTCTATTCACTGTCGTTCTTGACTTTAGAAAATATAGCAAAAAAAAATAGTTATAATAAACGTACTTAGATCATTTGTTCTTCAACAATTTTTATCTTGATAGGTCAGATTATCTGCTTCAGAACTGGAATTCTGTTATTGCTGTTTGTTAAACTGTTATTATTCTGTGAGGCTGTCTATTAGACTCAGTCTAAGTCTTCTTTGTTTATCTAGAAAAATTCGTGATTTAAAAAGCTCAGTGCTTAAACTATAATTGCTTAATTATAACGATGTTTTGGTAAGAAGTAAAACAAAAAAAAAGCAGGAAAAGCACTAAGATATTTGATGATATAAAGTGATTATAATAAACTAAGAATTATATAGACTGTCTTTTTGTCACTGTTATAATTTGAAATGCTTTTTTGATGATAAGTTTAAATAATAACTGAGAGAAAAGATTTGTTGTTTTGCTGTTATTAGCTATATGGTTTCGATACGTTGTTTAATTGCTTATTTTTTAGCTATAATACCAATTGCTGATGATAGATAGACTAGTGACAAAAAAAAGGAGAAGATGCGAAATCAATACATTTTCTTCTTTTATTTCTTTCTCTTCTTTTAAGAAAAAAAAAAAAAGAACAGAAAACGTCTAAACATAAACTTTTTTCTTCAATTTACTATGACAGCCACTTTTTTTTTGTTGACATAATCTGTCAATGTTTTATACGGTATAGTTGAAAAAAAATCTCATTTTTGGGTTATTTGAAAAGCAAAAGAAGAAAGATGGAAAAAAGAAGAAAAGAGAAGAGAGGGGTATGTTGATTAAACTGGATAGGTTGCTATCTTTTTTTTTTTTTTTGGCTTTAACAGTCACTCAGTTTTACGAAAATAAATTTATCTATCCAACTGCTAATGAAACGTCTGTAAAAATGCTGTAATTCAAAAGTTCAATAAAAATATGCATTTCTTAATCATAGTTTCTCTTATAGCTTATTAAGTTTTTGATTTTCTTCTTTTTTTCCTCTTTTTGCTTTCAACACATCTGAACAACAACTAATCACTTTACTGGTTTAAACAGAGGCATTTCTTTTTCATCAGTTTAACAGGTTTTTTTTTCTTTTGTCTTGCGATCCTAACTGTTCAGTTATTCCCTGTTGAATTTCATCAAATAATATCGAGTCAACAAAAAAGTTTATAGATGGTTGCTTAAATACTTCAAAATAAAAAAAAAGAGAGAGAAAACAAGGAAAAAGCTGCAGCTTTTTTAGCTTTTTATTTGGTTCAAAATAATTATTACAAAAGACAAGTCAGAAAATAGAGTGAAAAAAGACAAATTTTGTCACACTTTTTTTAATTTCGTACCTTTTTAAACAGTTATACATGTAAAGAAACCAAAAGGTCTTTTTTTGTGCTTTTTTTTCAACGTTGCTAAACGATTGACAAGTAAGAAAATTGAAAGTGTTATAATTTGATAAGGAAAAAAAATGTTTTTTGCTTTCTTTTCTTAACTCAATCTCAACGAATTG